CATTCAGGCTTCAGTAATGTTGGCTCCTTCCGCAAATAAACATACAAATAAATTATAATTAGTGTCCCATGCGCTGCGAGGTCTAAACAGTACCGCTGTTATACGAAGGTCAAATAACAAACTTTGACTCAAACTATCTCACAACTGTCTTGCTTTGATTCCTATGAGATTATACGGAGGTGTGCGCACTACTTGTTTTTTAGTTATGCAAATAAACAGTTGAATTGGCTGCGAAACAATCGACAATCGCACACGATAGTTAAGTCAAAGGTGTGGACCCGCTTTAAATCAAGACAAGAGGCTTTGTTGGATTACTGGATTGACTACCTAATAGTTTAATTCCTCAGTTACGTAACTGGACCGGACTGGTCAGTCGACTGCACTAACGAATTGTCCTATTTAGAGTCGCATTAAACTCATTTCACATATACGAGATTCAAATATCGGATAATAAAACTTTATAGGTGGTTTTAAAAACTTTTATAGATGTATTTCTGAGGTTAAGACTCGAAAGACATTTGACAGCATAAACAGTTTACATTTACTATTATAATTGATTTAATTGTATTAAAATATTTGGTAATTAAATGAAAATTAAGTTGTTAGAGCTGAGATTATAATAGTTCTGTGAAGAAAACCAATCGAATGACCCCTCATCATCATCATCATCATCTCCTTATCTTACTCCCGTAGGGTCGGCGCAACAGGTTTTTGTCCTCCAAATAACTCTATCATACGTCATCTCAGTCATCACTCCCTTTTTGATCATGTCACCTTTTACACAATCCATCCATCTCTTTCTAGGTCTACCTGTACCGATGTACCCTTCCACACTCATAACTAACGTTCTCCTTGTAACATGCGATTCATCCCTTCGAATCGAATGACCCCTCACACATCAAAATTAATGTAGCTAATACGGACTGATAAAAACACACACAATTACACACGTACTCTATAATAAGCCAAACAAAATACATTAGTATTTAGAATCTTAATAATTATATTAGACTAGCTTTCGCAAGCGAATCCGTCCGCGTTGGTTTAAAAAATAACAAAAGTACGTAGCCTATATGTTCTTCCAGATGCACTAAATGTATACCAAATTTCACCGAGATATGTTCTGCAAATCAGACGTTAACTCTAACATCCATCCATCTAAACTTTCAAGATACATGTAGGGCTGCCAATTATTTTAATCTTTGCACGCAACAGTTAAACACAATATAACAATTACAAGGATATCTAACAGAGTTATGTTCTAGCTAACTGTCAGGAAGGACCTATCTTTAATACACAGTTGAACAATTAGGACGAAAGTCGTAAACTGGCAACCCTAGATACAGTATTATTGATAGATCGTAGCGACTAGTGGGCGCCGGCTGCAGTGACAGTGAGCAGCCCTGCACAATGACCCAATTCCCGTTCGCAGTCCGAACGTCGCTCCCCTGACCCCATTCTATTTGCAGTTGTTTCTACGTGCGTTAGTTCATTACAAGGAATGGACATAAAGCTTATACCGCTTGTATTAACGACATCTATTTTGAGATCTGTTATCTGCTTTAATATTTAGTAAGAACTAGCATTTGCTCGCAACTTCGTCCGCGTGAAAAAAAAGAATAAACCCCCTCAAGAAATGGCCTATTCACACATAAATTACCTTTCTAACGGTGATTTTTTTTTTAAAAATCGGTCCAGTAGTTTCTAAGTTATTTCAATACATACAAAAATACAAATCTTTCCTCTTTACAATATTAGGATGGACTAAATAAGAGTCGATTAAAACACAGCAGTTATGTTGACAAAAACTAAAGTTTTTAACTAAGTTTAAGTACAGTTTGAAAACCGTAAACAATAAAAAATCGGTGACAAAATCTATCGGTTATTAAGAATATTACCGGTTCTTTCCATGCTATAATATCCGGTTTCAACCGAAGTCGTCTTACCGTTTCGAAATTTAAATTCGTGAATTTTCCTCGTAAGTCTTTACGAGAACAAAGAAATTAAAATGTATTTTCTGTGCCTTAATCGAAGCGAACGAAAGGAAGTCAATTGGTGATATCAATTGATTTAGCCTCGAAGAAATGTCCCGCAGTCGCCGGGAAATGTCCTTGATGCGAGGAAATAGGAAGATGGGAATTCATGCGTTATAATGGTTTAGTCGAATGGTCGTCAATTATGGTAATTTTAGAACTTTTATTATGGGACGGAATAAATTTTTTTTTTATCATGCATCATAGAAAAGTAACTATGTGTAAAATATTGTTATGAAGAGAGATACCGAAACCAGAATAGATAAAATTTATTAAAAAAAACCATAGGATCATGCTAGTTTCAGAAGGTAATAAAGGGCAACGTAGGGGCACTTTTAAATTTTATCAAAAGCGAATAAGCAAGTATTATATAATATAACTTTTTAAATAATTACAATTATATTAAAATTCTCCAATAACCCGCATCATATAACTTCGTGAACAATATATTCGACATAACGACGCGACATTCCAGTTTTATAGCGCAAATATTCAAATGCACGGCGATAATAAAATGTGACGTCATCAGGAAGAACAGGGGTAGCCTCCAATTTTACGTAACACAATATGAAGTTATACAATTTTCATAAAGAATAACGAACATCTTATGGTAAACAGAGGAAAATAAACTCTTGACTGTATTTATTTAATTAAAACCTCTTAGATTAAAGCAGTGATTCCCAAATTGTCTATATCGACAGCTAGGGGTCTACGTCAGCGAAGAAAAATTTGGCGGTCTATCAAATGAAAATTGGAGTCCGCGATAGTGGATCCCAACACATACACTGATAGTACTCGTACTTTTATTTACTTAAAATTCTATTTTAAGTAGTAATAATTTAAATTCTATTAATAAATGTATAAATTATCATGTGTTTTTAATATAAGTTTTTAACACTAAATTTAACTGCAGTTAGAAATTTACAGGAAATCAATATCTGGTAAGTAGGCGGTCCATCCAACACGGAAAAACATGGAAAGGAGTCTACTAAAGGAGATACAAAAAAAGTTTGGGGAACTCTGTATTAAAGTAAATAATTTATGAGGACAATGTAAGAAGGAAAAATCAATATAAGGTAACGAACATTATATTTAATACTTGAAAGTTCGCCTTCATCAAATATGTAGGCGTTATTTATATGGCTATCTTTCAGATATAAATAATGCAATTTAAGAAACCTTAACGAATTTTTATAATATCTGGCATATATTTATTTCAACATTTATCAATGATTAAATTCTTGCGTATGTTCCACTAAAAAATAATTCATAAATCTATACTAATATTGTAAAGAGTAAAGATTTGTATTTTTGTATGTATTGCAATAATTCAAAAACTACTGGGCCGATTTCAAAAATTATTTCACCATTAAAAAGGTACGCTATCAGTGAGTAACATAGGCTATTTATTACTTTTTAATTTCTCCCTGGCGAAGAATTTTATAAACATGACTCGAAATAGAACTTAGAATACTTGCGATTTAAAAAAAATTATCAACGCCATTGATGCTTTATGTGTTTAACGCTTACATTAAGTTAAGTAGGGTACGAGAAATATAACTAAGGGTTACCCTTAGTGAATTAACCTTGAGTAAAGTTATGTCAGTATTTTTATGGAAATGAAAGAATTGCTTGCCATTATTGGACTATGAACCTTGACCTAATCGCCCCATCTTGAGACTACCCACGCTGTTTCCTTTTCTACAAAATACTTTATATGCATACAAGCGTTTCGTAAAATATATCTCGTGTGGGTGTAAAGTCGCTATGGAATAAAATACATCCCCAAGTGGGCGGTTACCCTTTTGTATTTTATAAAACATTAAGTAAAATTTGACAAATGTATTTCATACTATGCTAATAATTGCGAAACATTGTATGGATATTTGTTGTTACGTATCTCTGAAACGGTGTAACAGATCTCGATTAAAATTGGCACAGATTTAGAATAGTTTGGAAGAACATATATACGGTATTTATTACGTTTCTTTTGCACAAATGACAGCTAGTACTTTATAACATTGCGAATACCACAATTATCAGTGAAAAATCTCTTACTGTGATTTCTCCACCGTACAATATATTACGAATATGGAGAAAAACATGTTAATTTAGATTGATTTAACGCCAGAGCAATCAATTACTGTTTATTGGATGTTCGTCAATCGGCCGTCGTTCGGGATCAGTTTGTGTAAACATTTGCATTTACCGACGCTGTGATTTTCCATCGTATATTGGTTAATTAAACAAGGCTCATTTATACAGAACCAAAGACATTTAACATATCAATAGACAGAACATTACGAAATAAACTGTACGCTCAAAAAAATGTACTACCAGTTTAATATGACACGCCGAAAAGTGTACTTTTGACTTCCAATACGAGCGATTACGATTAAAAAATGCTCGTAATGTCCACTCTATAACTAGCGTTATATTTAAATCTCTTTGTACAGATTTACTATAGTCTTTATGATTGAAGAATTTGCATACATATTAAGATAGATCTAATCTGTATTTAGATAATTATATTAATCTCTGAGGTCAAACAATAATAACTCGTATGACGAACGACATAATAACCCCTCATTCGATTTACTGCACGGCGCAAAGCCAAAAAATTTAATGACAGATTATAAATGGACCGAGCACACTAGCGCCAAGGAATCTGTTGACCTGAATTATTTGCAAGACTTCATGTTGACCTAGTAATGAGTGAAGAAAAAACTACGTACATTAGAGATTATTATTCAATTTGACATATATTATATAAACGAAGCGATATAAAAACCTATCTACTTCTGGCTAGAGTTAAATTTATGGTCCTTCGAGCAGAATAAATTATACCAAACGACATATTCAAAAGAAACTGATGTCGGTAGTGATCAGAGCAAAATCTTAATTCTGAATGCTTATTCAAAGTCAATTCTTCTTCTTAAAGTTCCATCTTCTTTCGAAGGTTATTACCTGGTGATATTATCCTGCTTTTCCAAGATATTCTGCAGGCCCACAGAATCTCTGAGCTGCATCACCAAAGCAGCACGCACCGCCTCCGCACATCTGTACTCCTCGATCCTCTCGGATAGCACCTAGAAAGATACGTTCAGTCTATACTAGTTCTTACATCGAATATCAACCTTCTCATACTTAACAAGAACAGTGACTAAAGCTTTGGTGGTCGCATCAAAGAGAAATAAAATGTGAATATCGTACAGTTGGTTTTTCGTTAATTACTGCACCAAAAACAAAGCTGGAGAACAAAATGAAAGTCTTTGATACACTAACAGAAGTTTACACAAGTATTAATAGATTTAAAACTGCATATTTAGGTTTTTAAACTAACTTTTAAATACGAGTTACTATTTAAATTATGATAATTTTTTATATGGACGTTCTATAACACTTACCTCAACATCATCAGAATAAACCGGTGAATTCTTAAAGACATCTTTCTTCACCACAGCAACATAAGGTCCTTGCACACCACCGACGAACTTCTCACAATTGAAGAACAATGCATCTTTCCTCACCATACCTTCCTCAACTCCGAGAAAGGTTGGGTTCATATCCACATTAGAAGTCGGAGCCACGAGAG